TGTCAGTGCAATGGTTGATTTCTTACTTTCTTATTTGGTGCAGATTTCTTATTTTCCATGTTAGCCATTCATTTAATTGCGCTTTTTTTCGATCTAGCAATCAAATTTTGAAATTTCTCACGTCATTTTTCTGCAGTGCAAAGTTTTTCCAGACTGACAAAGAAGAAAACTGAATGTTTTTTCTTCGTTGGGTTTGAAATGTGAATTAGTTGCGATTAGGCAGATATGCAAGAAGCAGTAGCAGCAGCAGCATTTGGCTATTCGTCTGAGGAGTTCTTCCCGTTTTGGCATGTGAAATCGTTTGTACACTCGCATTTCTGTTTGAAGAATGGAAGAAGTATTAGCTGCTTGGAGTAATCCCCATGTGGCTCTTTCCCTCATTTTCCACACCAGGGGAGCGCCGTTTTGAAATCTGTGCAGCTTTTCGTTTTACTTTGCAATCTTTTAAAATAGCTGTAGAAAAGTTAAATTCAAATCTTAGTGCACCGCTCTTCTCTGGGGCACCGAGGATTTCATGCTTTTATCCAGACCGAGGATTTCAACATTGGTACTCAAGAAGTCTTGTGACAAGATAGTGGTAGTGCCGCTCATGATATTATTTAACTGTAATTGGCACAGGAGTTATAAACAAGTTAAGGCTTATATGGCTTAATGGAGCGAAACGTCTTATCTCTCTTTTACCTCCTTCTCTCATATTCTGTAATCTTTCGCGTCTTCGCCATTTAAGCTTCGAGGGTCAACATGGTTGTTACAGTCTGCTTATAAACAAACTTGCTGTGTAAGGTAAGAAACGTTGTGAGGAAAGAGTGAGAATGGAAGTAGTTTTCAATTACCATGAAAGCCGGAAACTGTTGATGTAAGCATCCGATTTTAGTGATTTTGCTGGTTTTCACAAATCAAGCGTGGCTGTGAGATTTAACCCGCGGAATTCTGCTTTTCCGACATTTTTTTTTTTGATACACTCATTGGAGTCGGCCGAGTGGTTGTTAATTTCCTCAGAAGTGTAAATCGCTGGTGCAGCTCGTCATCCACTGATC